TGCTGCGTTCTGCGTATATGTTATAAAGTTTTATGAGACTGTGAAGACATTTTTGAAGAACGCTTATAATGGACAACAATACGTTATAGGATATATATATATATATATATATATATTTTATATGCGCAAGCAACGTTAGTGTTCATCTATACGACAATGCATTAAGTTCTGGGTGCAGGCAGACACTACATGTGAATATAACATAATTTTCTTTTAATGAATGTTTCCCTGTTCTTATTGGATCAATGTGGAACGGCTTTGAAAGTCCTGCAAAAATTGTATTACAACAGTGAGAACTATCACTCTATCTAGACCTTAAAACCTTTTCTTTTTATTGATTTTTAGGCTTGTTAATGAGCCAATGGGAGATGCCTTTGTATTATTATGAACCACGGCCAAGTTCGGTTAATGCGGATGTTCATATAACGGCTTTTCAAACTACAGCGAAAAATTGATCCGATCCTATTTATATTTATGGGATTCTAAATCGACTTTGAATGGTCCGTTATTTGCCTGTCCGTCTGTTTTTGTAATATTCGCATTCTTATAATAATGAGAAAAATTGAAATTGACCGCACATAGCTCAAATTCAACTAAGATGTAAAGATATAGGACCAGTTTTAGCAAGGAAAAAAATATAGTAAAATCTAATAGCAAGGTACCCGTTTGTCCGGCAGATTTGCTTTTTTTTGCCTCAATTTTGTGTAGTATATATAATATTTGCTTATCAGCTCATACGTTTGGACAAAAATTGCAAAATTTTCCGTTTTCAGGACCGCTTTTTGCATTCGTAAAGTCAGCTATCTTTCCTATTAGGTCGGGTTGTAAATAACTTCCTATGCCGGTAGCTAGTATCTGTTTATCGTATTTAGCCCCCACTATAAGCCAACGAAAGAAATAAGTTTTTGTCTTCACTAAATAGATGGGGATTCAGCTAGTCCTCCGTCAAATGTTTAATGTGGCGCATGTTACATTACTGTTGCTGTTTTTCTTAACCTCTGAAATGAAGAGTTAAAAAAGTGCATATTCCACATGTAATGGGTGGGGCATTTAAAGAAGGCAATAAGACTAAGCCGGCAACTGAAAAACTATCCAGTGCATACGATGAAGGACTGATAACGGATCGGGCAGTTAGAAATTGGTTTGTAATATCCCGTCCTGAAGATATGATCTTAAAAGACGGGACGGGAACCTTGTAAAGGCAATATTGGAGCAAAATCCACGCCAGTCAACAAGGCGAATAGCTTAAAGGTTGAATACCTCGAAAAAGAAAGCTACTTATGATTCGACCTAATAATTTGACTGATCAAGTAAACGGGCGAGTGGGTAAAGGATCTCAACTAACAGCTTCATGGTCAATGGGTTCAAATCTCAAATGCGGTGGAGTTTTCAATGAAGCCGATAGCCTTAGATGCTAGTGCTTTACTCTTGGAATTTATTTCTCTGGCTAAACTAATAATACACCTTAGCTGTGTTATTTTGACTGCTAGTCAAATGCAGATCTCTTTTGGTTTGAATAGATGTCCCGTTTTTTAGGTATACTTTATATTTGGAAATGCGTGAGATTATGAAATACGATATTTATGTTTACATAGCATGTTATCTTCGCATGTGCTGTTGTACGGTTAATGGCGCATATGTTTGTATTCACGGTTTTTTTTCATTGGCCCGTCTCATCTTGCTCTCCATTATTCGGGAAACTCTATATTTGCAATGAATTTTTTAAGCTTTCCAAGGCAGCGATTAGCGATGGAAAAAATTTATTTCATAAGAATTCAAATAGTGCTTAAGAAAATTCTTTTTGTCTTGATTCAATTTTTTTATTTTTATAAAAACGCGCTTTTTTTATTTTTTTCTTTCAAGACATCAATGCGCTTTTTTCTTTTGTCTTTTAAAGTTAAAACAACTAAGAGGAAACAAAGGCAAATGGGAAAGGGAAAGAAAACAAGGATATCTTTTAAATAATATTAAAGATGTTTTTAAAGCATCCTCTTACTACATTAGTGGGAGTAGCCATGATTGCTGTCGTTGTCATGGCTGGTGCTAGCATTAAGATTCACTTGACTAAAACCAAAGACAAAATCAACTTGTTAGTGCTTTATCTTTACAGTTTGCAATGATAGCAGTTTTGACAGGCTTTGTTGAAGCTTGTGTGTACGCACATGTCTATGTATACAGATGTTATCCTTTTAAACTAGCATTATACTGAAATAACGTATTATAGAGCGGGAGAAAGCACAAAAGGAAAGCAGACTAAGTCTACATCAATATTAAACTCTAGTGCTATTCTCTGCTACTGTTTCCTTGTATGAAACTCAAATTCGTTAAAATTAATTTAGGTTTTGTTGAAAAACAAGTTGTTCTCAACCTTTTTAGTATGTTGTCAAGTCATAGATTTGTAAAGTTTTTCAAATGATTTTCTGTTTTTTTTTTTGTTCTTTTTTATTTCTTGAGTTTCGTCGTACATTTTAAAGAAATGTACAATACTATGCAACAGCGAATCGTTGCTTGAAATGGCTTTACAAAGCGTGATAACACTTCTTTGAAAACACAATATATATATATATATATTTTGAAGTGCAACGATATACTCATACCCATGTAATAAACAGCAAACTTGTGTGTGAAGTATATGCGAACAGAAATACAAAAATTGCAGGAGTCATTCCCGTACGAGGATGGTAAAAAGTGCAGCTTAAGAGATTGAGTCAGGCAGCAAAGGCTTAGTAAATAGTTGGATGTAAGCAGAGACATCGTTAAGATAAATGTAAAGGAAAGTGTCTAGGTTCGTTACGATGGACGGGCACCATCATTACCAGAATTTAAAAGGTCCAGTACGCCTGCACTACAATCCGCTTTCATTTCAATCTATTTTTTCAAGCGATTTTCTTGCTTTAAAAAACAAAAGCCTGAAGTGATTAGTGAGTTGTTTCTCTTTTTTACACTAAGTGCTTTTTTTCAAATTTTTTATTCAATTAATTCGTCAAATTGAATAATCCTTTCCCGTTGTTTTATCCGCAATCGGATTATAAAAATTATTAATAATAAAGTCGCTTTTCTACTTCAAAATATTGATCCGATAATCTTCCTTGACGAAACCAAATCGCTTTAATATTGAAAGCTTAAAGCAAAAAAAACAATTTTATCGCTTTTGATGGCAAATTTTCATTTAAATGCATTGTACCTTCATCACTTATGTCACAGCCAGAAGCGAGAATAACTAGCTAACTTGTTAAGATGCTATCTACTCATGTCATTGGGAAGACTTTGGACAAGAATTTTATCGATAGTATACCAATGATTAATCTTCTTCTTTTTATTTTTGAAACTCTCATTAATATCTAAGAATAGTAGAAGAGTCCTCCCTTCAAACGTATTCAACAAATTTCGTTGCCTTCAAGGGCATTTTTAAGTATTTCAGGCGATTTTCATGGTTTTTAATTTATTTTTAGCAAGACACAAGTACCAATGCTATAGTCGGGCAAGACCAGCCACCAGCAACCCTATACCACTTCGTTCAATACAGTTAGTTATTCACTGATTTTCTCAATACACCAGAAAGTGTTTTTCATATTAATTTAATTTTACGTAAATCCATAACTTTCATGAAAGCTCCCATATGACAGAATACTTGCAACGTCAACTAACGTGGCCCAAATTTAGCAAACTTCATTTACTTCTCAAAGATTTTATTAATTTCAAAATGCGTTCGTCATAACAAACTACAATATAGACTTTTCCGCCATAAAAGGGTTTGCTTTGATAAAAACATGGTGCGATCTAAAAAATAGACCTATTTGATCCACATTTCCTATAGTTAATTTGCTATTATACATTGGTTGACATACAAAGCCTTATTTTTTATTAGATGGGTTGGGATACAAAAAATAGATCTACGAAGTCCAAATGGAGTGAGGTTGACTTTTCTGTCAAACTAATGCTTTTAACGAATTTCACCAAAAAGCATTGAAAATAAGGCTTTTTTGACATGTGAAGACTCAGTTTTCGTAGGAACGATTATATGACAAAGGGTTACAAAATTGCTCTGATCTAAATTTTTCGCACCAATTTAGGATGCGGAAATACTTATACTACGCAATTTTTGTCGCGAAAGTGTAAAAATTAGAATATATTTTCTCACAACAACTAATCAAAATAAGGCGCAAAATATGGAAAATTGGTCTGATCCGAACCATTTTCAATTGCACTCATCGACAAGAAACGACAATGTACGGATTTTCATCAAAATATCTCAAAAATTGTGGCCTGTTGGGCACAAGAAAACAAAAGGCCCAGACGGATGGACACCCTTCAATCAATTTGCATAATATCACTGATTCGAAGAGTGTAATAAAAATGCGGACCTACCTCTTGAACACAAGAAACGAAGACAAGCAGATGGACAGAGGGACAGACAAGCTTACGTAAACTCAGAAAGTGATTCTGAGAAAAACGAAGTAATAAAATTTGAATCTATCTCAAGTCCTTCTTGTTGCTGCATACATCCGCACAAACTTGATGTACCTTTTTATCATAAGCAGTCAAGGGTATGAAAACATTTTTGACCAGTGCAATTAAAATAAACTACGAAATGGGTGGATGTGGAATTGAACTGATTTGGCCTGAAGGACGAAAGTTGCTAACTATGACATATTTTTCCTGGTAACAGTGTCACCTAAGTATTAGGTGACAAAGTTCCTGAATAACTTGTAATAAAACTTCATATAAAATTATCCCTGAAATAAAAAGTTTTCAAATTTAATTTTAGGTTGGTAGCGCCTGTCTTCCGTTTTATACATTTTAAAGGAAGCACTCATTACCCATCAAAAAAGAAAAAAGAGAAAAAAAAAAACGAAAAACAATTTAAATTATACCTGAAGTCTTTAAAAACAAAACAAACCTCATTTATCTTTTGTGCAGTTTTAACTAACAATGTTTGCTCATTTATGTGCCGTCTCGTGTATGTATATGAAATTTCTCTTATCTTTCTTTGCTTATAGATTATACGTTTAGTTTGCGTCTGGTGGAAGTACGAATACCGAACTATGTTATTAAAGGTTCAACGGCGCAATTGGAATGTCTTTACGATTTGGACGGTGAGGCTCTGTATTCAGTTAAATGGTACAAAGATGGTAACGAATTCTATCGATATGTGCCAAGGGATATGCCACCAGCACAAACATTTTTGCTACCAGGTGTTTCAGTTAATGTAAGTACCATTATAGTACCGTACACTACTATTATTGCACGTAAAAAAAAAAAAAAAAAAAAAAAAAAAAAAAAAAAAATT